TATATATATATATATATATATAAGTGCTGGTATATAAATATATATATTGAGGTGTAGGTACACCTAAATTAAGAATATAAATATTATTTAATTAATTAATTAATTTATTTTAATTTATTAAACATTTTCACTCAATAAAAATTGGACGGGCAGACCGCGGCTAACGCTGCAGCATAAATACACAATAACAATTCCTGCTGCTGCTGCTGCTGCTGCTGCTGCTGCTGCTGTTGCTGCTGCTGTTGCTGCTGCTGATGGTTGTGTATAACGTACTTGAGAGAGGGCCTGACCGGCAAGAAAGTGTGACGTAAATGGCTCAACTTTTCCCTGTAAACCACAAACCCTAAACCCTAAACCCTAAACCCTAAACCCTAAACCCTAAACCCTAATGGTCTCTAGAACACCCAAATGGCATATATAGATGGATAAATAAAGCGCTCCTTTTGTGTCCACAGTATAGAGGAAACAAAGGAGACAATAAGAGACAAAAAAGGAGACAAAAAGGAGACAAAAAGGAGACAAAAAGGAGAGAAAAGGAGAGAAAAAGTGTCTCCTTTTTCTTACCTGTTTCTGAAACATAAAAAGTTGTGGTAAAACTGCAACAGACTCCAAGTATAAAGCAAATGTCCATGCTACCTATAAATAAATAAATAAATAAATAAATAAATAAATAAATAAATAAATAAGGAGACAATTAATTAATTAATTTAATTAATTAATTAATTAATTTAATTAATTAATTAATTAATTATATATTTAGTTATATATTATCTGTATATGTTGTCCCTATGTATACATCTATATATATCCTACTACTACTAAATAAATAAATAAATAAAATAAATAAATAAATAAATAAATAAAATAAATAAATAAATAAGTATATACTTACATCAGCAGGGAAGAATGCATTAAGAGAAGGATGGAAAAGAATAGCAAGAAGAAGACAGGAGATAGATAGACCCCAATGAGGAAAATAATCACTAATTTTATCATAAGAAGAAGAGTAACGATATCTACATTGATATACAACTACTATACTTAATAATAAAGATAATGCCTCTAGTGTCTGGTATAACCAATCCCCTGATCTATCATAAGGTAAATACCTGCATGCAAGCAATAGGAACAATACAGAAAGCAACAGCAGCAACAAAAGGAAGACATGCAGCAGCAGCAGCAGCAGTAGTAGTAGTAGGAGGAGGAGGAGGAGGAGGAGGAGATGCAGCAACAGAAAAGAAAAACAACTATTTATGACTGGTGGGTGCGGAGGAATAGGGAAATAGAAGGGAGGACCAGCAACGTGCTTGCAGCAGCAGCAGCAGCAGCAGCAGCAGCAGCAGTAGGTAGCTTGCAGCAGCACCAGCAGCAGCACCAGCAGCAGTAGGTAGCTTGCAGCAGCAGCAGCAGCAATAGGATTGTGGAGAGAAGGAATAGGTGAGGGAAGGAGACAAAAAGAAACAAGGAGACAGGGGGGAAAAAAAGACAAAGAAAGACAAATAAAGGAGACAAAAAGGAGACAAAAAAAGACAAGGAAAGACAAAAGGAGACAAAAGAAGACAAATAAAGGAGACAAAAGGAGACAAAAAGGAGACAAAAAAAAGGAGATAAAAAAAGGAGACAAAAAAAGGAGACAAAAAAAGGAGACAAAAAGGAGACAAAAAGGAGACAAAGGAAGGCAAATAAAGACAAACAAAGGAGACAAAAAGGGACACAAAAGACACGAAAAAAGAGAGAAAAAGGCACATAAAGGCACATAAAGGAGACACAAGGAGACACAAGGAGACAAAAAGGAGACAAAAGGAGACAAAAGGAGACAGTAGTGTATATGTGTCTCCTTTTCCCTTATAAGGAACAAAAGAGCAAAAGAAAAGAGAAGAAGAAAAGGAGGAAATAAAGAATATCCCTAAGGAGACAAATAAATAAATAGATATAAATGCATATAAATGCATATAAATGCGAATAAAGGAGACAAAAAAGAGACAGGAGGAGACAACAAGGAGACAATAATGTATATATATGTATTTACCCCTCATAAGGAACAAAAGAGCAAAAGAAAAGAGAAGAAAAAAAGGAGGAAATAAAGTTCGAACATTTTTAAGGATACACATAGGGGTATATAAGGACAAATAGGGGCAAAAAAAGGCAAAAAAAAAGGAGAGAAAAAGGAGAGAAAAGAAGAGAGTATATTATATATATATGTGTATATGTACTTACCCTTCATAAGGGACAATAGAACAAAGACGTGAGAAAATAAGTAGTACATAAAGTTCGAACATTTTTAAGGATACACACATAGGTAAATAAGGATAAATAAGGGCAAATAAAGGCACAAAAAGGCAAAAAAAGGAGAGAAAAAAGAGAAAAGAAGGAGAGAGTAGTGTATATGTGTGTACTTACCCTTCATAAGGGACAATAGAACAAAGACGAGAGAAAATAAGTAGTACATAAAGTTCGAACATTTTTAAGGATACACATAGAGGTATATAAGGACAAATAGGGGCAAATAAGGGCAAAAAAAGGAGAGAAAAGAAGAGAGAATAATATATATCTGTGTATATGTACTTACCCTTCATAAGGGACAATAGAACAAAGACGAGAGAAAATAAGTAGTACATAAAGTTCGAACATTTTTAAGGATACACCTGCACATGATTTATTTATTTCTAATTTATATAAAACCATCAAGAAAGAAAAAGTTGAAATTAATGACGAGACAGTCATTAAGAAAGAAAAATCACCATCAGAGAATAAATGATATATTAAAAATAATACCATAAATAAGCCTGTCCATGCCTGTATACATACACAATTCATCTTTATTTATTTATCTTTTATTTATTACTTTTTTTCCCGTCTTTTTCATACTTTTTCATCATTTTTTATGCTGTTTTTAGGGTTTTTCTAGGGTTTTTCTAGGGTTTAGGGTTTGGATAAAAAAAAAAGAGGTAGGGTTAGGGTTTAGGGTCTAGGGTTTAATTAATATTTATTTATAAATAATAAAAAGGGAAGGAGAGGGAGGGAGAGAGAGGGAGGGAGAGATAAAGAGATAATAAGGAGAGATAAGAAAGGAGAGATAGAGAACAAACAAAAAAGAAACAAATATATATATATACAAATAAATAAAAAGAAGAAAAAAAAAGAAATATAATTTAATTAAATTAATTAATTAAATTAATTAATTAAATATTTATTTATTTAATCTATTAATTATATATTTAATTCAAAAATAATTAACAAAAAGGAAGCAAAAAAACAAATACACACACTGTTGACAAACCCTAAACCCTAAACCCTTCTGTGCATATTCTAACAACTGATTAGCTTATATGTCTAAATAATATATCATCTAGGGTTTAGGGTTTAGGGTTTATACTTGGACAGATGCCTGATGGGTATTCAACCATTGCATCAATTTCTCTCTATTCTTAACCACCCTCGCGGCGTCCCTGACGCGCTCCATCCTGTAAACCCGCACTAAACCCTAAACCCTAAACCCTAGTAAACCCTAGTAAACCCTAGTAAACCCTAAACCCTAGGTATAAACCCTAAAGAAGTATACTACTACCCCGCATATACATCCTATATGCAACACGGAGGAGTCTGACAGTACAGCAGGTAAGGAAAGGACTAGACAGCAGTCTGCATACGCTGCTGCTGAATGCTGCTGCTGCTGCTGCTGTTGCAAGTGCTGCTGTCGTTGCTTCTTTGGCTTCTGCTGCAGCAACAGAAGCAGAAGCAGCAGTTGATGCAGCAGCAGCAGCTGCTGCTGCTGCTGCTGCCACCGCATCCGAAGGGTCCAAGAAGAATCCTCTATGCAAGTCTAGAAGGCGCTAGTGCTGCTGTAAGCAGCAGCAACGTCAGCAGCAGCAGCAGCAGCAGCAGCAGCAGGCCGCTTACTTTTCAGTCGTGGAGCCGCAGACGACTGAGGGCGTCGGGGATTATTCAGGAGTAGAAGATGAGAGAGAAAAGAAAACAGGGAGATAAGAAATATATCCTCTAGGGGTAAACCCTAAACCCTAAACCCTAATAGGCAGACACCGCAGCTGCAGCAGCACGGGTATAATAGCAGCAGCAGCTGCAGCAGCAAAAGAGTAGGCAGCCTTCACCGAAGGAAAAATGCCTCAAGCCTATTAATTGGTCTAAGATTCTTCAGAAATAGACGAATTGGTGGCCACAAGCACTACGCATAGTACAACAACAGCAGCAGCAGCAGCAGAACAGCAGCAGCAGCAGCAGCAGCAAGTCTATAGAACGAGAGCCGTAGTAGGGAGAGGGGCCCACCAGCCAATCAAGCAGCAGCTCCCTCAGCAGCAGCTTCTAAGCACAGGCACCACATTATTCTTGTTTATTCAATTATAAAGAAGAAAAAACTAATTTTTAAATAAATCCTTAATGTAGGGTTTGTAGTTCTTATTGCCGACGGGTCTCAGGAGGCCTGCCTGCAGCAGCAGACACGCTGCTGCTGCTGCTGCTGCCGCTAATACTTTTGCTGCTGCTGCTGTACATTGCTCGTCGCTGTTGTTGCTACTGCTGTTTGCTATATTATCGTAGCTATGTGCATGCACCTTTATTCTCCCTAAGGAAGACAAACCATTAAACCCAAACGCTACACGCTGCACGCATGCGCCCTCTTAGGGAAGCCTCGCCCTTTTCTAGTGCCTTAGTCATGACAATCAGCAAACTACCTAATAAAGGAGACTTCCTCAGCTGCAGCTGAGCCCACTATAGTTTGCATGCATCCTGGGCACAGCGGCCCTTCAGCCTGGGGCTGACATGTAGTGCTTCTTGGGTGGTGTAACACACCCAGTATTAGTTTTGCACTTCTATACGCTTGTCCTCGTAGCCATAATAGTTAGGGACTATTAAGAGCTGCAGTTGCCCCCTTGAGAACAACGGTATATCCATCCATACCCAATGTAGTGGTGTCCTGAACAGCGCAGGACAGGGGGATTCATTAAGGGGTCCATGCAGTCCGCTAGTAGACAGGAAGGCTCTGCAAAAGTCCTCCTTTAGGGGTGTTCTCTTGTTGTTTTTGGTACCATTTCTGGTGGGTGGGCAGTATTCCTCGTCTAAGAGGAGCACCATAGGAGACCAGACTGACCGCGATGTTCGCACCGTTGTTGTATAGGCCCCTTGATGGTATGCCAAAGTACGATTGTTTGTCTTGAGCAAAAAGACTGTCGGAGATCAACCTTGAATGTGTAAGTATAAATTTCGTCTGGTTCAACAAAGGATCCGATCCTCATCGAGGCTGTAGTGTTTATAGCGAAAATTGCAGACGCTTGACTATCCAAGGAATTGTGTGAGTGATGAGACGAAGGGAAAATCGTCATACACAGGAGCTGTCGCACAACACAGTGCGTTTACTGGTATGGATTCGGGCTAATGCACCAGGGGCTATGTTGGTATGGCCCTTAATATGCTTAACCGTTAACTGGGACTTCGTGAACCAGCAGTGCCACCGAACGACCACTGTATCGTGTCTTCACACCGACCTTCAATCCCTGAAAAGCCTGGCGAACTGCCTTCTAGATAAGTAATGTGCATACATTTTTACTCCCGACCAAACAGCTTAAAATTCGTCCTCGTGTTCCGCATATTTCCTTTATCTCGCCGTGAAATGATTAGATCAGCACGCAATGATTTGGTGCTTCTTCGAGTTACTGGATTACTGGAAAAATGTCAACCCAACCGTCGTGTCATTCGCACCGATTCTTCAGAAAAACAGGTTCTTAAAATCAGGGCTGGAGAAGTCTTCGGCTGCCTGATGGGGCTTTTGCCACCTGTATCCTAACTCGCTGAACAAACGAGCTGCCTTTTTGCTTTACCTGGACCCACTAAAGGAGTGGCGTGGCTGTAACACCGAATGACACAATAGTTGATCGATACACAGGAGAGAACCTTCTAAATGCCGACACAAATGTACTAGTGGTAATCTCCTGGCTAGGAGGAGGAGCAGATATGAGTTCACACCTAGGTAGCTGAGAGCCGCTGGCGGATACGCACACAATGGAGCCACAAGCGGAAGCGGGCCAGATTGTCGGCAGTGTTGCCGGCTGCCTTCTATGTCTCTGGATCCCCGGAGGCAAAGCATCACTTGGGAAGATGCTAGTTATCGCCGCCGGCGGGACGATACCTAATATCTTGCCAGCTCATAGATGATAGCACACTTTTTACTGATCCGTAGTGATGTCGCCGCAGCTACGCGCTGGCAGCCAACCAACGGCGACCCCTTTAGCCACCAAAATGCGATCCAGAGATCGGTGTGGGACAAGCTGAAAGATACGGGAGACGTCACCGCAAGAGGACCTAGGGGGCATGTTGAGACGCTACGCAACGCTGCTAGGTGGTCCAGCGATAGTAAGAAAGCCACTCAAACGGCAAAGATCTTGCTGCCTAGCCACACATGGTCGCCCACTGCATACTCATCTGCTAACCGTTTAGAGTCTGCATACGTCTTTTGATGCCATTTGGTTTGCAAGATTTGGCTATGCGCGCGCCCACATGCTGCATCGCTGCTTAGCATTAGGTGATGGTACTAAGTAGCCTATATAGTCTTTCAACCTACTGCAGAACAATCGCTAACCCCCAGCCTCTCCTCCGCACTGCAGAAATCTACGCCGGACCCAAGTAGTTGACTCTGTGACCGTATGTGCCAGGAATCGCATCTCTGGAGAGCCCAGCGCCTTCTTCTTACGTATGCCGTGGGCATCTGCTCACAACCCTTCGCATCTGCTCACAACCCTTCGTTATCAAAAGAAGTTAACCAGTCAATCAATCACTTGCCTGGCGCCTATAGGGGATGAAAGTACTTCCTTCTCCATACACTACCACCCATGTCTTCATAGAACTCAAGCAAGGGCCGCTGCATGGAATTCACTGCACCTCTTTGGCCAGGCATGGGTCACAAAGCATAAAGGTATAGGCTAGCGTGCGACTTGGTGTACGCAAGAGCATTTTCGCCTACCCACTCATCGCTACCAAAGAATGGTGTGTATGGCTGTGTCTGCCACAGTGTTGTGCTTGGCAGCCTGTGGAAAGGCCAATTATGAAGTGCGTTTCGGCCACTATGCTGCTGCATATTTCGCTGCTGATGTCTTTGGAGACATAGGACATTACCCAGGAATTTTAAGAATCGTGCCTGTTATATGTGGAACACCGGGTATTCTGCTGGTTTAGGCTTTAGGGTCTACAGTTTTGGGTCTGGGGTTTAGGCCGCCTTTCCTACTCACTGTGTGGCGCTGGGTTCAGGATTCATGGGCATTGAAGGGGAGGATACCTGCTTTTGAAAACTTTTGAAGACACACTTTACAGATAAGGATAACGAAGAATGCTGAGTTCGACGGTGGTGTGAAGTGGCCATTTTTAAGGCACAGCGAACCGCTATGTGTTTGTCGAGATTCTTTTCATAAAGACGCTGATACCAAAATGAGACGTTTTTGGAGGGTTGTCCCCTCCTAAAAATGCTCCACAGGGAGGCCAAATCCAAATGTTTGGGGTCTTCAAACAACCCCGCAGCTGGTGTAAACTTCATTCGCTAGCCATTAAACGTAATATGTAGCGCTCACTTCAATTGGGAGAAGCCACATCAAATGAAATCACCTGCTGGCTTGGCAACGAATATTTTCTCAGAGGAAGTCGGAACGCCTCCTGAAGACGCGATGCAAGCTTCAGCGTGGGGTGCCTTGGGATATTTCATTGACTGTCTTCAGAAAGGCCTTGACAAGGTTGCAAAAATGCTCTAGGACGCTTGGAAGGGTCATGGTTACCTACTGCCGTCTCTGCTGTCTTCCACAAAGACTCCATGAAGCACAGTCACGGGTCTCCGGTGACACCTCACAGGCTGCCGGTGCTCTTTGGCTCCCTGCAGCTATTGCTGTATTGCGTCCGCGTACCACAATGATCCACGACCTGTCAACAGTAGGAGAAGGTCAATTAGAAGCAGGAACTTATGGCCACCCTTGATCCCTGTGTGGTCCTTGTCCAGATCCCGTAGGCGAATCTGAATCAGACAGCGCTGATGAAAGTGCTTCTGCAACTAGAGGACCGAGGGGGGAAGGGTCATGGTTACCTACTGCCGTCTCTGCTGTCTTCCACAAAGACTCCATGAAGCACAGTCACGGGTCTCCGGTGACACCTCACAGGCTGCCGGTGCTCTTTGGCTCCCTGCAGCTATTGCTGTATTGCGTCCGCGTACCACAATGATCCACGACCTGTCAACAGTAGGAGAAGGTCAATTAGAAGCAGGAACTTATGGCCACCCTTGATCCCTGTGTGGTCCTTGTCCAGATCCCGTAGGCGAATCTGAATCAGACAGCGCTGATGAAAGTGCTTCTGCAACTAGAGGACCGAGGGGGTCGAGGTCCACTAGATTATGCGTAGATGGCAAATGTGCGTCTCCTTGATCGCCTCCAGCTGTAGGTGGCCAAAATGCTCTAGGAGGTTCAAAGCGCCAACTAGGTATAGATCGCCGACCTCCAGAGACTAGTGTAGAAGGTTCAGGGCCGTGTCGTGGAACGTCTGAAGGGGGTCTATGAAGGATGGGTCTGGAAAAGCGAAGGGACAGTCCTTCAGTGGGTTGAGGGAGTCTCGAGGGGTCAGCGGAAGGTCTAGGCGATGGGAATTGGGGCGTTGGAAGAGGATTCCGAGGCGTAGGGCTTCCAGTTGAAGACGCTGTTAGTGGGAACACCGTTCTGATATATCCACTGGGGCTCAGAGTAGCCGCGGGTATTGGGCGCGGCAAGGGAAGAGGGTGAGGGAAAGCTGCTAGTGAATCCACTTCAAAGCCAAAGGGAGATGGAGCGTACCACCAAACATAACTGGCATCAGAAGAGACAGGGTGTATATGATGCTGCATACCCGCTTGATGGCGATACCGTATCGTTGTATGCAGGGGCGCATTTGCTCGGAGAACAGAATTTGCCGTAGAAGAATTGAACATGGACCATTCTTGGGCCATTGCAGCGTGCTGCGATTCGTACCCACTTGGAGTGGAGTGGGGAGGGGATTGCTCCCAACGCTCTGCTTGGGCAATGGGAATGTTTTGTTGCGAGTCTGCAGGAGACGACTGAGTTGGGTCGAGCAATGGCAGGTTCACCAACGTGTTGCTTGTAGTCAGCAGGGGTCCTTGGCGGGGGACAGGAGAGGGGAGTGGATGATGCAAGGCGTGTGCCAGTACACTGTTTGTCGCAGTCGCTGGTTGATCAACAGCAGGTTGGGGGGTGGGTCTAGAATCATCATTGTTGTCAGAAATGTGGCTGGTCGACGGATGCTGTTGCTCGTGGAGTGTTTGATTGTCCTTTTGTTGCTGCTGGTCTCCATGCAGGTGCTGCGCGTCTCTTTGATGTTCGACCGGCTGATCTTTCCTAGCCGTTTGGATGCTGCGGGCAAGAGCAAGTGCTAGGAGTCCGTAATGATTCTGGTATTTCATTATCTGGTCCTCTGGACGCAGGCGAGGGGGTAACGGCCTTCTTAGGCGCTGTTTTTCGGCAATTGTAGAGACACCAAACCGTTCTTGCACAATTTCCACCCAGGCGGCCGCATTGAGATCCCTCCTGAGTCTTGCCTTGCCCGCTTGCCGTGTGTGCGAAACAACTTTGAGAAGGCGTTCTGCCACCTCTTCGGGGATCGAAATAGAGCTTTGTATCCAGGGTTGAAGTTGCTGTAGAGCCTCTTTACACTGTACAATTCGATAGGAAGACATGCGTGCCTCCACAGCTAGCTCCTTAGAGTTGGACTCCTTTTGGGGAGTTCTAAATTCTTCCAAGAGCTGTAATACTTCTTTCCCACGCCCTAGCGTCTGAAAACTCTGGCCAACAGCTTCTAGTTGTGCCAAAGCCCGTTGTCCTTCCTGCAAAATGAAATCTAGTGTCCGCTGCCGCTCCAATTCTACCTGTGGAGTTGAATGAACACCATAAAAAATCAATTCCTGTGTACAGATAGTCAACAGCAAGACAACAAGAACGGCCATTTTCTCAGAGGGAAAACTTGGCGCTATTTCCGCTCCAAGGGTCAAGATGCATTTCAAGTCGTTCAATGTCTTCAGAGCAGTCGACTCCCCTGTGTCCTGTTCCAGGACGTCCTCCCCTGCCACCCCAGATTCCACTGCCTCCCTCTGATTTGTTCCGTCCCCCACTTCCACGCAGCCTTCCAGCCACTGGTCCTCCAAATATGACGTCGAGAGGGACCTTTTACTCATACGGCCAAACAGCCT